AAAAGGAAAACTGAAGTGGAAAATCCGGGAGTCAGTCAGCTATGCCGACTGCACCTAGGTAGTTGACTCCTGGATATTTCACCTCAGGGGTTGGATAGCAGCTTGGAGCTGTTATCCAAACCCCTTGTGCTCTGTTGTAATATATATATATATATATATATATATATAATATATATATATATATTATATATATAATTATAATATATATATATATATATATATATATATATATAATATATATATATACATATATTAATGACATGGCCTGAATGCATGTGAAAGCTTCGTTCAAGCTTTTAGATAAAAATACAAATTTGAAAGAAGTATGATGGTTTTTTTTTCAGTATCAAAATTAGTTACACTTCTTTGTGCGGCTAACCTAATTTCTACGATATTTTTTCAAGGCTAGAGCAAGGACTACTAAGTTTACCTAACACCCATCATACAAGATGATCACACAGAATGAGTTAAAAAGTACTGAAATCTATTAGAGTTGAAGACTTCATTGGGGAGATGTGGATTTCGCTAAGTATTTCACTGTGAGTACAGCAGCTTGTTACCTATAGTACTGAAGACAAGACAAAGGTTGTAGAACAAGCTTTTATTGTGACAATGTTTCGTTCTGAGAAGAGCTTTAAACAGAGTGAAACATCGTCATAATCAGAGCTTTCTTTGTATCTGAGTCATTTCCACAAAATAATGTGTGGTTGTTTCAGCCTGGTGATGCTACAAGGGTGGGTTGCGTGCGGCAGGTTCTGCCAGGAACAGTGGGACAGGGTACTAGTAGCCTGCGACAACGACCCTTTCAACGTCATCGTCTACGGTAGGTCCTCGACAGATCATCAGTGTCATCCTCTCCTCTTCTATAAACTAAAAAAATGGGGGGAAGGGGAGGGGACTACAAATGAGAAAGAGACGTTGGCCCTTTGCAACGGTTTTTATTTTTTTCTTTAGATGTACATTTGTTTCAGTGACAATCTCTGATGCTTGGGAGATCAAGTTCTTTTCGCATATTTAGCATTTTAGCAGTAAGTGGATATCCTAGACCGATTCTTATTCCTTCGTTGTGCAACTTTTCAAGTCCTCTAAGCTTGTGTCTGACAAAAAGAGCGAATAGGGAGCTGCACATTTGAGTAACGTAAACATAATACATCCTATTCACTTTTCTCACATTAACCGCATATCAGCCTTTCCTTGTATTAGCTACAAAGTCTGGTTGCAACGGAGTGGAAATTGAGGGGCTCCCAAATCTAAGACATTCCTGACTATGGTTACATACATGATGCTACTTCTATTATTATTATTATTATTATTACTACTACTACTACTATTACTACCACCACTACTACTACTAATAATAATATGCACCGCTGTTGTCTGGTGTGAGGTTCGCTTCCAATTTCTTTTCTTTCTCCGATCTATGTAGACCTTATATCCCAAGCTACATTATGCAGGAACTATGTATTTAGCATTGGTAAGAGTAAACAGTTTCGGGTAATGTATAAACAATGTGCTGGGTGTTGAGGAACAATGTACTGGGTGTTGGTAAAAGTACACAGTACCGGGTGTTGCAGGGACGACAGTACTGGGATTCTCAGTGTACTGGATGGCGGGTTGTGTGTACACCATTATGGACATGAGCGGGCGACCAAGGTGCGTCCAGCGTTACAAGGTTCAGCCTGGTACCAACCAACCAGTGCCTCCATGGGCCCTGTTCAAGGTAAACACAGAGGCTCCTTATATGCCTAACTAGTGAATATAATCTCTGATCTTGATCAGTCTGTCATATAAATTATGGTAAGTTTAATACACCGATACACACACACACACACACACACAACACACCACACACACACACACACACAACACACACATATATATAACATAAAATTATATATATATATATATAAATATAATATATATATATATATATATATATATATATATATATATTATATATATATATATATAATGCAATACATCCGCGAAAAGGTGACCTTAATTAGCTCTCCTGTTACTTGTTAGTAAAACTTGGTCCTACACAGGTATGACATAGTTCGCAAATATGTAATAAGTGTAGACTCATCTAACATGTTATTCTCTGGGTGGAGGAGGTGGATTCTGTGCACCTGCATAAGGTAACTTCAGTTAGCAGTTAGTGGTTCTGGAGACTGTCTTCCCCACGGCCCGGTCTCAGACCAGACTTCCTTGTCGGAAAGAATATATTACAGAATTATTTAACTTTAAGAAGGCCATAGGAAAGTAAACATAGGTAGATGCCTGTAAGATTTACCTGTCATCTTACCTGCTCACAAGACAGAAAGAAAAGATTAGCAACCCTGCCCGAGTGTAAAAAAAAAAAAACAGGTTTCAGTTTCACAATCATTTGACAGGACAGTAGTACCTCTCTGGATTGATTGTTGTATACCAATTTATGCTGCTTTCACACATATTATATTTCAATTAGGCTTACACAAATGTCCATTACTAGTAGTAGTAGTAGCAATAATAATAATAATGATTTTCTCTAGTAACACCCATATTTTTAAGCATATACTAAAATCTAAATAAATAAGCCTAGGAACGTGACTATGCCGTTGAAATAGCCATTATTTTCTTGTTGTTTCGCTCGGACACAAAATATACTGGCCAACAGCCCCAAAGATGGCGTACGTGTGTAACACTATATATCTTCCTACAACATGGAAAACACATACTGAAGCAAGCATCACGCTCCACCCAGCTCCTTCTCACTGCAATTTTCCTGCATGACATACACTGTATTCACAATACCGACCCTGGAGAAGGAAAGCAACTTGAGACAACAGAAGAGCACTTTGACCATGGCTGTGGCATCAAGAGATAAACACGCTCTTAAGAACACCTTAAGTAAAACTAACAACAACAACAAATAAAATGTTGATAAAAAAAATACACTTAAAAGAAATTAATACTATTATATTTTCAGTGTTAATTGATTCACTTTAAAGTTAAGTTTAGTGTGTGCAGGCACCTTGGTCCCTGGTAATTATAAAAAACAGTGCCAGCAAAAGTCATGAGCAAAATCAGAATGTGTTCCACAGTCAGTTACACACTACAAGTCACACAGAGAGGAAGGAGCACCTACAGACAGGTAGTTTAGATTAATATGTGTGTGTGTGTGTGTGTGTGTGGTGTGTGTGTGTGTGTGTGTGTGTGTGTGTGGTGTGTGTGTGTGTGTGTGAGTGTGTGTTGTGTGTGCGTGTGCGCGCGCGCACGCACCGATCCTTAATCTGCGAAGAACATTTTGGACAGGAAACTTCGAACGACGTATCGGTGCCTCATGGACCACTGTCAATTTGCAAATGAGATTTTATTTTTTTTTTTGCCTCCATGATGGTTGGTGTTCCGGGTACTCCATAATCATCCCACGATAGAGTTTCCCCCCCCCCCCAAAAAAAGTCTTCAACTGAACCTACTGGGATTTTATTTTTTTATTATTAACACACTGGCCGATTCCCACCAAGGCAGGGTGACCCGAAAAAGAAAAACTTTCACCATCAGTCACTCCGTCACTGTCTTGCCAGAAGGGTACTTTACACTACAGTTTTTAAACTGCAACATTAACACCCCTCCTTCAGAGTGCAGGCACTGTACTTCCATCTCCAGGACTCAAGTCCGGCCTGCCGTTTCCCTGAATCCCTTCATAAATGTTACTTTGCTCACCACTCCAACAGCACGTCAAGTATTAAAAACCATTTGTCTCCATTCACTCCTATCAAACACGCTCACGCATGCCTGCTGGAAGTCCAAGCCCCTCGCACACAAAACCTCCTTTACCCCCTCCCTCCAACCTTTCCTAGGCCGACCCCTACCCCGCCTTCCTTCCACTACAGACTGATACACTCTTGAAGTCATTCTGTTTTGCTCCATTCTCTCTACATGTCCGAACCACCTCAACAACCCTTCCTCAGCCCTCTGGACAACAGTTTTCGTAATCCCGCACCTCCTCCTTACTTCCAAACTACGAATTCTCTGCATTATATTCACACCACACATTACCCTCAGACATGACCTCTCCACTGCCTCCAGCCTTCTCCTCGCTGCAACATTCATCCATGCTTCACACCCATATAAGAGCGTTGGTAAAACTATACTCTCATACATTCCCCTCCACAGACTCCTAAGTGCACCGCTCACCCTCTTCCCCTCATCAATTCTATGATTCACCTCATCTTTCATAGACCCATCCGCTGACACGTCACTCCCAAATATCTGAATACATTCACCTCCATCCATATCTCTCTCCCTCAAATCTTATATCCAATCTTTCATCACCTAATCTTTTTGTTATCCTCATAACCTTACTCTTTCCTGTATTCACTTTTAATTTTCTTCTTTTGCATACCCTACCTAATTCATCCACCAATCTCTGGCAACTTCTCTTCAGAATCTCCCAAGAGCACAGTGTCATCAGCAAAGAGCAACTGTGACAACTCCCACTTTATGTGTGATTCTTTATCTTTTAACTCCACGCCTCTTGCCAAGACCCTCGCATTTACTTCTCTTACAACCCCATCTATACTGGGTATAGTTATATATTTTTAGATATTACGGAATCGAATGTATTAATTTTATCATATACTTATCTACTTAATGCAATATGTTAAACAATAAATAAGTCAAATATTGTACCATGAGCACTGAAACATTGAATCATTTCATAGATTACAGTTCCATCATTTACCAATTATTTTATGTAACAGAAGCAAAGTGAGGGTGAGAATTAACGATCCGAACGGAGCAAAACGTTCTCTACTTTTTTCCACTCAACAATTTCCCATTATATTTAACGTCTGAAGAGTAGCTAATTTTTGTATGGGACCATACGGGAATGAACTGTTTTATTATGCAGACCGGTAAGGTGTTACAGAGAACGGTAGAAGGGAGAGTAACTTGTAGTCTGGTTGGCAGTGTATCCTGCTGGTGAATTTTAACCTGGTGGTCACGGCAGTGCCTTTCATGATGGTGAGCTACCAGGTCCTGGTGCTACGAGGTGCCCCGCTGATCTGCCCACACCTGCCTCCCCTTCACCGTGTTCTGGCCCACCTCCTCGTCTGCATCCTACTGGAGGAGGTCGCCTTCTACTACTTACACAGGTGATTACCAATTACGGAACAGGTGGAGTCTGAACCCGTGGCCAAGTGAGTCTTAAAATGCACTGGCCAGTGATTTTTAGGACTCACCAGGGGTTCAGACCCCATCCGTTCTGTGATTTGTTTGCATTCATGTTATTACGATTCCATGTTACTACGATTCCATGTTACTACAATTCCAGGTTACTAAAATCCCATGTTACTACAATTCCGTGCTATTACAATTCCATATTACTACAAATCCGTGTTACTACAATTCCATATTACTACAATCCATGTTACTACAATACCGTGTTAATACAATACCGTCTTAAAACAATTCCATGTTACTACAATTCCGGGTTACTACAATTTCGTGTTACTACAATTTCGTGTTACTACAATCCAATGTTACTAAAATTCCGTGTTACTACAATACCGTGTTACTACAATTCCGTGTTACTACAATTCCGTGTTACTACAATTCCGTGTTACTACAATTCCGTGTTATTCCATCACTGGTTATCGTACTCATCACCAGGTTGTTCCATCACTGGTTATTGTACTCATCATCATCAGGTTGTTCCACCATTGGTTATTGTACTCATCATCACCAATTCCGTGTTACTACAATTCATGTTGCTACAATTCCGTGTTACTACAATACCGTGTTACTACAATTCCGTGTTACTATAATTCCGTGTTACTACAATTCCATGTTATTACAATTCCGCGTTACTACAATCCCATGTTACTACATGTTCCATCATTAGTTACAGTACTCATCATCACCAGGTTGTTCCATCATTGGTTACTGTACTCATCATCACCAGGTTGTTCCATCATTGGTTACTGTACTCATCATCACCAGGTTGTTCCATCATTAGTTACAGTACTCATCATCACCAGGTTGTTCCATCATTGGTTACTGTACTCATCATCACCAGGTTGTTCCATCATTGGTTACTGTACTCATCATCACCAGGTTGTTCCATCATTGGTTACTGTACTCATCATCACTAGGTTGTTCCATCATTGGTTACTGTACTCATCATCACCAGGTTGTTCCATCATTGGTTACTGTACTCATCATCACCAGGTTGTTCCATCATTGGTTACTGTAATCATCACCAGGTTGTTCCATCATTGGTTACTGTACTCATCATCACCAGGTTGTTCCATCATTGGTTACTGTACTCATCATCACCAGGTTGTTCCATCATTGGTTACTGTACTCATCATCACCAGGTTCCATCATTGGTTACTGTACTCATCATCACCAGGTTGTTCCATCATTGGTTACTGTACTCATCATCACCAGGTTGTTACATCATTGGTTACTCTACTCATCATCACCAGGTTTTTCCATCACTGGTTATCGTACTCATCACCAGGTTGTTCCATCACTGGTTATTGTACTCATCATCACCAGGTTGTTACATCACTGGTTATTGTACTCATCATCACCAGGTTGTTCCATCATTGGTTATTGTACTCATCATCACCAATTCTGTGTTATTACAATTCGTGTTGCTACAATTCCGTGTTACTACAGTTCCGTGTTACTACAATACCGTGTTACTACAATTCCTTGTTACTACAATACCGTGTTAATGCAATACCGTGTTACTACAATACCACGTTACTACAATACCATGTTAGTACAATTCCGCGTTACTACAATTCCGTATTACTACAATCCCATGTTACTACAATACCATGTTAGTACAATTCCGCGTTACTACAATACCGTGTTACTACAATTCCATCTTACTACAATCCCATGTTGCTCCATCACTGGTTATTGTACTCATCACCAGGTTGTTCCATCATTGGTTACTGTACTCATCATCACCAATTCCGTGTTACTACAATTCATGTTGCTACAATTCCGTGTTACTACAATTCCATGTTACTACAATACCGTGTTACTACAAGTCCTTGTTACTACAATACCGTGTTAATACAATACCGTGTTACTACAATACCACGTTACTACAATCAGGGCCAGATTACCGCATAGGCAAATGAGGCATTTGCCTAGGGCCCCGCGCATTTGGGGGCCCCGCGGTCCAAGGGGTTCAGGGGCTCATCCAAGACTGCGCACATGGTGCAAGTGCAAAGGGGTCCCTACCTAAAAAGTTCAAGTGTTTGGAGAGTAAAATTGATTTTTAAAAATTAATCAAAACAAAAATAAATAATGAAATAAAATAAAATAAAAATAAATAAACCTAACCATAGATGGCAACACTCAACACGCCTTTGTTTACATCAGAACAGCTGTGTTTTCCCGCTAATGAGTGAGTATGGGAGATTCTTCTCCAATTTTCTGTAGTAATTACACGTTATCTAGACTTGTACTGTGACAAATTAACTGAAGTGTTGTTGATAGACATTGATGTGTATGGATAAATGTTTGTTTTCGCCTCTAAATGTTAAGGGAGGTACCTGATAGGGTTACTTGACCAGTAAAGACGCATGGACCAGTAAAGACGCATTTTTGGTAAAAAATACTATAAAGAAAAACCTAAAAACGCAAACTGACTTCCGTTTGTAGGTTTTAAAAGCACTTTGTCCTGTCTTTAAGTCTTTATCATTTCAATAACAGATCTCAATTGATTGATGTTCTACATCACTTCCATCGCAAATGCTTAGTTTTCAAGTTGCGAACGGAAGTGATGTAGAACATCAATTAATTTACTACATATTTCCCCAGAAACACATAAGCCACATCAGAAAATCGTTGGTTGGGTGAAACTGAAAATTGTCCCTGCATTCTTTAATTCTCATGTCCTTATCTATGGTGGTAGGCCATATATCATGCAAAACATAATGATTAGTTTAGTTATGAAAATGGTAATATAAATACCATTGTGCATTGTTCTTGGACTCAGTATGATTTCTGTTTAAGTAAATTGGAGATCAAGGAGGATGAATTAGTAAAATATTCGTAGCCCAAATCACTAACCTAATCTATGGTAAAAGTTCTGTATATGACTCCTTTCTGGTAACGTTTTGAATTTTTAGATGCGCAGCCAGAGGAAAGGGGGCTACAAGGGCCATATCTCCCCCAATTGACAGAAAAAAAAATAATAATAATTAAAAAATTAATAATAATTGATAATGAAAAATTTGTATTTGCATGATTACAGACAGTGATACATCCTCATTATGGCATCTCGTGAACGTGATGTTGGACGTTCTTATGCGAGTGGGTCACAGAAAAGAAAGAAGAAAATTCAAGAAGAAGAACAGAAAAAGAAAGATGTAGGAAGCTACAGAAAGATCACAGACATGCTCACGAAAACAGTTTCTGATGTTACCAGTACAGTTGAATCTGCAGATACGTCAGATCATACAGGAAGCCCTCCCTCCATTATTTCTCAGCCAGCATCTACTTCTTTTGTGTCTCCTCTCAATGTCTCAACGACATTTCATCCACAGGATTTGTCTTAAAAGATCCTGCCTCATGGCCAAATGTAATCCCAGATTCTCTACGTAATGCTTTCATTGCAGAAAACTTCAGTCAAACTCTGAACATTGACTTTAGGAAATCAGCAAGGATTTATAATGATGGAAGTCGTCGTTGTTTAAAGTCATCTATGTTTTATAGGAAGCTTGCAAATTCAGAAACTGTGAAAAGATCATGGATGGTATACTCTGAAAGCTCAGGAAAAGTGTACTGTTCAGCATGCAAGCTATTTTCTACCAAAGAAAATACCTTCACACAGGAGTTCAATGACTGGAAAAATTCCAAGCGTTTCGAGGAACATGAAAACAGCACCACTCACAGGAGCTGCATTTTAGCCAATGTATTTCGTGCACAGAAAAAAGGCTTATTGGATTCTCATTTGGAAAATCAAACTGAAAAAGAGCGCACTTATTGGAGAAAAGTTCTAGAAAGAGTTGTTGCTGTTGTAAAATTCTTAGCTCTAAGAGGACTTGCTTTCCGTGGAGAAAATGAGGTTTTTGGTTCGGAAAACAATGGCAATTTCCTAGGGATCATAGAACTGTTAGCACAATTCGATCCATTCTTAGCAAATCATGTGTCACGCCTTGGGAATGCAGGAAGAGGCACTGTATCTTACATGTCATCTACTATATGCAATTAATTTATTGAATTGATGACTAAGAAGGTCCTCAATAACATCATAGCAGCTGTGAAAACTGCAAAATACTTTGCAATAAGTGTAGATTCAACACCAGATATTTCACATACAGATTAATTGACATTCATTGTTCGCTTTGTCGACTCCAGTGGTAAGCCTGTAGAGCACTTTATAAAATTCATTCCTCTTTCAGGCCATGATGGAGAAACAATGATGAATGCAGTACTGGATACTCTGCTTGAACATGATCTCTCTATTATGGATTGCCGTGGCCAGAGCTACGACAATGCAAGTAACATGTCGGGTAAATATAATGGATTGCAAGCCCGTATCAAGCAAATCGACCCACTTGCTGAATATGTGCCCTGCTCAGCACATTCTCTTAATCTTGTTGGGTCATGTGCTGCGGAGTGTCGTGTCACTGCAGTTTCATTTTTTGGACTTTTACAAGCACTCTTTAATTTTTTCTCTGCTTCAACGCATCGGTGGAGTATACTCAAGTCAACCATTCATGGAGATGTCATCAAATCATTATCAACAACAAGGCGGTCAGCGCAGCATGATGCAACACATGCTTTGAAAGACAGCTTTGCTGAAATACGTTCTGCTTTGATCCAAATAGCAGAGGATGAAGACCAGACAGCAACTATAAGAAGCGAAGCAGCCAGCTTAGCATCAAAATTGGAAGATTTTGAATTGGCCTTACTCTGTGTGCTTTGGGACTGTATACTGGAACGGTTAAATGTCACGAACAAGACACTTCAGAAAATTGAAATTGAAATGGCTACTTGTGCTAACCTCTACGCAGGCTTAGTGGAATTTGTAAGCTCACTTCGCAATGATGAAGCTTTTGAAATGTTTGAAGAGAAAGCTAAACTGCTGGTGAAAGACTACAGTTACCGGGCTGATAATCAGCGGTCAAGGAAGAGGAAACGCAATTTTGAAGAGCCAGACAATGAAATTGTGTTGCTACCAAGGCAGAAATGTAAGACAGCTACATACTTCGTCATTCTGGATTCACTGATTACAGAATTGGTGAAAAGAAAAGAAATCTACCAGACTCTCAATGACAAGTTTGGATTTCTGTTCAACATTACTACTATGCCAGATGCAGAATTGAGAGAAGCTGCATTAAAGTTGCAACAACACCTTTTAGCAGATGTTCAGGACACATTTGTTGAAGAAATAGTTCATTTTTCTGGGTATATGAATCAGATTAAAGCTCCACCTGAAAAATGTGCGCCCTCAGCTGCTTTGAAACATTTAAGAAATGCAGGTATCTCAGAAACCTTCCCTAATGTTGACATAGTGTATCGCCTTTACCTAACACTTCCAGCTACTAACTGTGAAGGAGAACGTTCATTTTCTGTTTTGAAAAGAGTGAAAAACCAGCTCCGTTCAACAATGAGCCAAGACAAATTGTGTAACCTAGCCTCGTTGACCATTGAGTCTGAATTAACAAGATTATTATTATTATTATAATCAAAAAGAAGCGCTAAGCCATAAGGGCTATACAGCTGAATTAACAAGAAATATTGATTTTCAGAATATAATTGATGATTTTACCAATATGAAATCCAGAATAAAGTTTATTTAAGAAGTGCCTGTGAATATAAACAATTCTTTACTTTCTTGAGTTTATATGATTTGATAGTCTTATGCATGATGCAATGATAACAATAATGGTCAGTGATTTATAAAGGGAATAAATAATAGTGCTGTAGTGGTTATGCTGAATATAATAGGTACATGATGTCACTACTTTAATAGCCTAATCTAGTAATACTATGCTGTCTTGAGTTTATTCTCTTTAAAATGCATGATTTAACAAGATAGTTATAATGGCTGTTGGTAAATGGTTTTGGTTGTCTTGATGTACTTTCCCTATTAAATATAATCTAAATAGCCAGAATGTATTTAATTAGACCTTAAACAGGCTCACACCGACCCCCCCCCCCACCCCCAAGATGGAAGGGGTCGCTTCGCTTACCCGTAACTCAAAGGGGCCCCGCCAATCTGAATAGCCTAGGGCCCGGAGACTTCTTAATCCGGCCCTGACTACAATACCGTGTTAGTACAATTTCGCGTTACTACAATTCCGTGTTACTACAATCCCATGTTACTACAATACCGTGTTACTACAATACCGTGTTACTACAATTCCATCTTACTATAATCTCATGTTGCTCCATCACTGGTTATTGTACTCATCATCACCAGGTTGTTCCATCATTGGTTATTGTACTCATCATCACCAGGTTGTTCCATCACTGGTTATTGTACTCATCATCACCAGGTTGTTCCATCACTGGTTATTGAACTCATCATCACCAGGCTGTTCCATCACTGGTTACTGTGCTCATCACCAATAGGTTGTTCCATCATTGGTTACTGTACTAATCATCACCAGGTTGTTCCTTCACTGGTTATTGTACTCGTCATCACCAGGTTGTTCCATCACTGGTTATTGTACTCATCACCAGGTTGTTCCATCACTGATTACTGTACTCATCATCACCAGGTTGTTCCATCACTGGTTATTGTATTCACCACCTGGGTGTTCCATCACTGGTCAGTAGACAACAAACTATCGTTACACCTCGGGAAAACGGAAGCCATACTCTTTGGAACGAAACAAACTGAGAAGGGTAAAAATAATTTTTTGTAATGGGGAACCCATCACTTCATTTTCCTCGGTAAAATATCTGGGAATCCCCTTTCAGAATGAAATTCCTCTACAGATAAGCACAGTGTGTACCGACTGAGGCTCGCAGGACTCTGTCTAGCCCTTATACAATGTCATATAGAATACGCTTGCTATACATGGTACTCTGCCTTGACCAAAAAAAACAAAAAAAACAAAAAAAACTGATAGACTATAAATCACTCAGAACAAAATGGTAAGATTCACCCTGGACCTGGGTCCAATTATTATTATAATCGAAAGGAAGCACTAAACCAACCTGGGTCCAAGAGAACATGTAGTCCAGGATGAATTTACAACTGGATATGCTGAATATTGCAGACAGTAAAACAAATGAAGCTAAATCAAATTTATAAAATTGCTCACGAACAGTGTCCAGAATATCTTGCTGCCAATTTTGTCAAGGTTGGGAACCAAAGCAATCATAGTACTAGGGGGAGAGAGCACAACTTTGTAGTAGCCACAGTCATTGGCCAGGCTTCAAACACCTTTTATTTCACATCAATAAAGAAATGGAACAGACTGCCTGCACATGTCAAAGCCAGTCATAGCATGAACCAGTTCAAGAAGACTGCCAAAAGGAGCCTAATGAATGAAGCGACAGAAAGGAGGAGAAAGATTTTTTATTTTTTTTTTTAGCAAACACACAAGTATATGTAAGTAACTCACTTTACGTTATTCCTAGTATATCTCCGTTATAGTATAATAATAAGGTATTAAAAGGACGCCAATCAAAATAAGGCACTTTGACTTTTTTGGGTTATGCTAGGTGCTCTACACATATGCTGCTATGTGTGATAATCTATGTAACTGTATTTGTGTATACCTGAATATTATTATTATAATAAAAAAGAAGCGCTAAGCCACAAGGGCTATATATACCTGAATAAGCTTATTTGTTGTACTCATCATCACCACGTTGTTCCATGACTAGTTACTGTAGTCATTACCAGGTTGTTCCATCACTTGTTAGTGTACTCATCATCACCAGGTTGTTCCCTCACTGGTTACTGTACTCATCATCATCACCACCAGGTTGTTCCACCAGAGGTTACTGTACACACACGTTCACAAGATCCACCATCAGTGGAAGAGTCCTATCGCCATCACTGCGGCATACGCCCACCCGGTGGAACACGTGCTGTGTAACCTGGTGCCTCTCATGCTGGGCCCCGTGTTAGTGGCCGCCCACCCAGCCACCCTCTGGGTGTGGGCCACCCTTGCCACCCTGGGCACCCTCATCCACCACAGTGGCTACCACCTACCCTTCCTTCTCTCTCCTCAATTCCACGACTTCCACCACCTCAAGTAAGTCGCAGTGAGTTAGGGTGGTTAATAGGTTTTCAAGTCTATCGACTCTACTAGGGTCATTGAGGCTGCATATAACCTATTTACTACCAGTCAAGAAAACTTTTTTTCTTAAAATTAGGATCAAGGCAAATTCTTAGATTATATACACACTGAGGCATTCACCCCACGGTGTATATCCTGTGCAGTAGGAAAGCTCCCTATTCATTACACACACACACACACACACACACAGAATCTCCCACCAAAAGACCCCACCCGCAACATTCCCAACGCAACTGAGCAACCTATACTACAACCCACTCACTGTTCCCTCTGCCACCAACACCCATATCACAAACCTCACCCCAACAGCTGTCCCTTATGGGCATTCTGACCCCACCCCCATCAACACATACCCCACCTACACCACAGCCCCATATATAGGCCCCCACCAAGGCTCTCGCTCCCCAACCCCAATATACTTGCATGACCACAATGATAGAAAAGAAACTAAAGGTTGGTACACAAACGCGGATGGAATAACGAATAAACATGAGGAGTGGAATGAAAAATCAGTGAAAAATCCCCAGACATCATAGCAGTCACAGAAACAAAACTCGCTGAGACAATAACAGACACAATCTTCCCAACAGATATCAGATCCTGAGAAAGATAGAAGGAGTAGAGGGGGAGGAGGGTTGCACTGCTCATAAAACACCAATGGGGATTTGAGGAAATGGAAGGCATGGACATGATTGGAGAAAGAGACTACATTGTAGGTACAATTCAGTCCGGAGAACATAAAGTAGTCATTGGAGTGATGTATAACCCACCACAGAACTGCAGGAGGCCAAGAGAGGAGTACGAAGAAAACAACAGGGTGATGGTGGACACACTGGCTGAGGTGGCAAGAAGAGCTCACTCGAGCAGAGCAAAGTTACTGGTAATGGGCATTTCAACCACAGGAGATCGACTGGGAAAACCTGGAGCCACATGGGGGTCCCGAACATGGAGAGCCAAGATGATGGATGTGGTACTTGAAAACCTCATGCATCAACATGTCAGGGACACAACCAGAGAAGAGGGGAGGATGAGCCAGCAAGACTGGATCTTGTGTTCACCCTGAGCAGTTCAGACATCGAGGACATCACTTACGAGAGGCCCCTTGGAGCTAGCGATCATGTGTTCTGAGTTTTGACTATATAGTAGAGTTACAAGTGAGAAGGTAACAGAACTGAAGGGGACAGGCCAAACTATAAAAGGGGGACTACACAGGTATGAGAAACTTTCCCGCAGGAGGTTCAGTTGGGGCAGAGAAATGGTAGGAAAATCAGTAAACGAGATGATGGAATATGTGGCCCAAAAAAGTGCAAGGAGCAGAGGAAAGTTTTGTTCCCAAGGGGAAAAAGAAATAATAGGAAGACCAAACGAGTCCCTTTGGGTTTACCCCCAAGGTGTAGGAGCAAAAACTAAGTGCAACAGAGAATGGAAAAGGTACAGAGGCATAGGACCCAGAAAACAAGGAGTTTTGGGAAGAGCCAAAACGAGTATGCGCGTAGGAGGAGGCCCAGCGACAATTGAAAACGACATAGCATCGAAAGTCAAATTTTGACCGAAACTGGTATGGGGCCACATTAGGAGGAAGACAACAGTCAAGGGAAACAGGTTAAGGCTGAGGAAAGAAGGGGAGAACTCACAAAAACGATAAAGAGGAAAATGTGTGACTCAACACGAGATTTAAGGAATATTTACAGAAAGAGACAGGAAGGACTCTGGGGGACAGACCAGATGGGGACACCAACAAGGAAACACCAACAAGTGTTGACACATCCCTACAGAATGGGAGGAGGTGAAGAAACTGCAAGGACATCATACCACAAAGGCAATGGACCGACACTCCCAGGGGTCCTTAGAAGGAGCAGATATTTGTGCGTACACTTACCACAATCTCAACACATCCCTGAACGGGCAACACCGAGTAGAAACGGCAATGTAGTTTCCCATTTTCAAAAAAGGAGACAGAAAAGGGCACAAACTATAGACCTTTTCATTGACGTGTATAGTATGCAAATTAGGAGAGATTATCAGGGGGAAAGTGTGGACACCGGGAAACGGAACAGGAGTATAAATGCAACCACAGGGGTTTCACGGAAGGCAATCCTGTTCACAAACTTCTGGAGTTAATGAAAAAATAACAGAAGTAGACAAGAGAGAAGGGGGGGTTGATTGCACTTTTTGGACTGCAAGAAGCCTTTGACACAGGTCCTCACAAGAGATTTTGCGAAATAGAGCACGGCGCAAAATACAGAAGGGCACTGCAAGGGATCAGAGAATACTGACAGGGGCAACAAGATCCATGGTACGTAAGATGTATCACAGGGGCCCGGGGACAGCGGGCCCCAAAGGTCGGTCCTAGGACCAGTGCTATTTAGTGGTATTTGAACGACATGACGGAAAGGTTAAGACTCAAAGTGTCCTTTTTGCAGATGATGTGATTAATGAGGAAATTAAATCTGATGAAAACCAGCAGGACTTCAAAAAACCGACAGACTGACACCTGGTCCACAAATGCTTCTCGAATTTATCCTGCAAATGCAAAGTCATGAAGAAATTAAGGGACCAGAAACCACAGACAGAGTATAGGCTAGGTGCCAAAGACTGCAAACCTCCTCAAGGAGAAAGATCTTGGGGTGAGTATAACACCGAGCATTCTCCGGAAGCACACATCAATCAATAACTGCTGCAGCATATGGGCGCCTGGCAAACCTGAGAACAGCATTCCGACACCTTAGTAAGGAATCATTCAAGACACTGTACACCGTGTATGTCAGGCCATACTGGAGTATGCAGCACCTGTTTGGAACCCGCACTTGATAAAGCACGTCAAGAAACTAGAGAAAGTACAAAGGTTTGCGACAAGGTTAGTTCCAGAGCTAAGGGAATGTCCATGAAGAAAGATTAAGGGAAATCGGCCTGACGACACTGGAGGACAGGAGGGTCAGGGGAGACATGATAACGACATATAAAATACTGCGTGGAATAGACAAGGTGGACAAGGACAGGATGTTCCAGGAGGGGACACAGAAACAAGAGGCCACAATTGGAAGTTGAAGACACAAATGAGTCAGAGAGATAGTAGGAAGTATTTCTTCAGTCATAGAGTTGTAAGGCAGTGGAATAGCCTAGAAAATGACGTAGTGGAGGCAGGAACCATACACAGTTTTAAGACGAGGTTTGATAAAGCTCATGGAGCGGGGAGAGAGAGGGTCTAGTAGCAACCGGTGAAGAGGCGGGGCCAGGAGCTAGGACTCGACCCCTGCAACCACAAATAGGTGAGTACAAATAGGTGAGTACATGGCTGCGGTGGCCAGAAGAGCTCATGCATGCAGGGCAAAGCTCCTGATCTTGGGTGACTTTAACCACAAGGAAATCGATTGGGAGAACGTGGAGCCACATGGGGGCCAAGATACAAGGAGGGCTAAGATGATGGAGGTGGTGCTGGAAAACTTCATGTACCAACACGTAAGGGACACTACAAGAGAGAGAGGAGAAGATGAATCAGCAAGACTGGACCTAGTATTCACCTTGAGTAGTGCAGATATTGAGGACATCACATATGAAAGACCCCTTGGGGCCAGTGATCATGTGGTTTTAAGCTTCGAATACACAGTAGAGCTACAAGTGGAGGGTAAAGCAGGAAGGCCAGGGCGAATAAAGCCAAACTACAAGAAAGGGGACTAAACAGGAATGAGGAACTTCCTGAACGGGGTTCAGTGGGACAGAGAACTGGCAGGGAAGCCAGTTAATGAGATGATGGAATATGTAAGAGCAATGTGCAAGGAGGCTGAGGAGAGGTTTGTACCCAAGGGTAACAGGAATAATGAAAAAGCCAGGATGAGCCCATGGTTCACCCAAAGGTGCAGGGAGGCAAAAACCAAGTGTGCTAGGGAATGGAAGAAGTATAGCAGGCAAAGGACCCAGGAGAATAAGGAGAGCAGTCGTAGAGCCAGAAATGAATATGCACAGATAAGAAGGAAGGCCCAACGACAATATGAAAACGGCATAGCAGCGAAAGCCAGATCTGACCCGAAGCTGTTATACAGCCACATCAGGAGGAAAATAACAGTCAAGGACCAGGTAATCAGGCTAAGGAAGGAACGAGGAGAGACAACAAGAAATAACCGTGAAGTATGTGAGGAACTCAACAAGAGATTCAAAGGAGTGTTCACAGAGGAGACAGAAGGGGCTCCAGAAAGGCGGAGAGGTGGGATACACCACCAAGTGCTGGACACAGTACACACAACCGAGGAAGAAGTGAAGAGGCTTCTGAGTGAGCTAGATACCTCAAAGGCGGATAACATCTCTCCATGGGTCCTGAGAGAGGGAGCAGAGACGCTATGTGTACCCCTAACAACAATATTCAATACATCTATCGAAACAGGGAGATTGCCTGAGGCATGGAAGACAGCAAATGTAGTCCCAATCTTTAAAAAAGGAGACAGACATGAAACTCTAAACTACAGACCAGTGTCACTGACATGTATAGTATGCAAAGTCATGGAGAAGATTATCAGAAGAGTGGTGGAACACCTAGAAAGGAATGATCTCATCAACAGCAGCCAACATGGTTTTCCAGACGGGAAATTCTGTGTCACAAACCTACTGGAGTTCTATGATATGGTGACAGCAGTAAGCCAAGAGAGAGGGGTGGGTGGATTGCATTTTATTGGACTGC